TCACTTTCCACAGATAAAATAACGTCTTTAGCATAAAAAGAGTGTCACATAGATTTTCAACTATGGTTTTAAGAAGCAAAAGGAACATATATCTTTCAAAAAAAAAACAGACCAGAAGCAAAATCTTTCAAAAAAAAGTTCAAGTTGAGGACCTACTCTGAATTGAAAAACTCTAACCAAATGACAACCAAGACTAGTCCTTTAGCCAAACTCGCTCAGTTAGCTGCAACATAAATATGTTAGCAGCGTTATTCAATAGAAACATAGTGCTATTCCAATAGTAGTGCCTTCCAAGGGCCTATTTTGTTTGTATAAACTCATAAATTCTTCTCAGAGCTTATCATTTAGTCCAAAAGACAAAATGCAATTTCTCAAAAAGCCCCTTGATTAACATAAATAACTCATTCATGTGCTAGAATATATCGAATTTATCCATGTTAAAATTTTGTGCATGGTAATTAAAATACACAACTTATTTGTTTCTAGTGGTTTGTGTCTGATATCAGAGCATTAATACACAAAACGGCCAATGCTAGAGAATAAGTGAAAAGAGATATAGAAAATACTTAGCCACTTTCTCTGGTGTGACATATAATAACTTGAATTTACAATAATCGGAACTAAGCTCTTTAAGGATCTCCAGTTGCTCAGCCCACTCCATATTGGCACTTAAGTAAGTAGCAGGAATATTTGCCTGCAGGTTGAAGCAAGGTAGATTAGATTAGTCCCTAGTAGATTATCCTGGCAAAAATTATTGACTCACTAGAAGAATAAAGAAATGATATTACCTGCAACAGACTCATTATTTGATCTTGGATAAGTGACACAAGTGGAGATATTACCAATGTTATACCTGGACAAATAAGAGCAGGAAGCTACAAGAAAATATAAAAAAACAAAACGTTTAAAATCTTACACTGCAAAGAAGGAAAAAAGAAATAGTAAATAACATTTTGTCACTGGGAAGCGGAACAAGCTACGCTTGAGGAGCTAAGTCTAATTTCCTATATCTTTCTGTCTAAAATGCATGAAACTGCTAGCATTGTCAAATCAGCAACTAAGCATGTTAATAGAACTGACAACAACCTCTAAAGCACAGAAGGGAATGACAACAACACTAGTAGCCGTATATAAACAGACAAAAAAAAAACCAAAAGAAATCTAGTCCTTGAGGAAAATTCTCCTCACCTGATATGTTAAGCTTTTACCCCCTCCAGTTGGCATTAAAACAAAAACATCATAGCCACTCATTGTTGCATTAATGACCTCTCTTTGATTGGGGCGAAATGAGTGATTTCCAAAAACTTTCTTGTTATTGATCTGAATAGTAGCAAAAACCAAATATAAGTACACACGGTAAAAATATAAAAATCGACTATGGTTCAGCCAAGCACCTCTAACTTCTTTGTCCACAGAAAATCCCTGCTGCTCCACTTATGGTCATTTGAACCCTCAATATAATTTACTTCAATAACCTTCGGAATATACAGTTCCCTCTCCACATTACCTGATGAAATAGCAACCCTACCTTCAGAGGAGATTGATTCTGAATATGGATTCCACTTCATGTGGATATGTGATTCATTCAGATGAAACTGGTCACCGGATCCCAAATGATCCATCCTGAATATACGAGCTTGAGGTGTGTCATACTGAGAACTGTGAGTTGTTGCAGATGTGGAGAAATGTGACCTTTTTCTTTCCATGTCACAAAGATATGTTTCAAGTTGCTGAAGTTGCTTGTTCAAGCGTAACCTAACAAAGAATTCATGCATAAGATTGAGACCTTGTCGTCAAGTTACACTTACCAAAAAGATTTTAGTTTATTTTTATTGAAAACAAATAACAAAAATTGTGTATGCAACAATTCCTTCTGTATGCTTTTGCACAACTCGGTGCTTCTCCCTATCTACCATTATTTGATACATCACGGGATCTTCACAGATATAAACTTGTTTCTCAAGTAAGAAAGCTAACAACGAAAATGAAAGGGGAAAGGAAGCAAAACCTATCTTGACGAAGCTCCTCCAACTGTTCTTTAGTCAGCTCAGCAGCATTGTCAAGCAATTCGTTTGATATAGCAATTAACTGGTCCTTTATTTCCTGTACATGAGTACAAGCTTCTGGGCAAACCCCAACCTATGTCAATTTAAGAGAATTAGGTACATCAAGTGACAACTTATTAGGATGCTAGCAACAAGTGGGGAAAAAAAAAAAAAGCAAGCAGCAGACAGACCTTAAACCCATGAATGCATTTTGAGCACAGTTCAGGAGGTAAACAAGATTCTTCTTCTCTTGCAGAACTGTTTCTTTCTACATTTGGCATTCTAGGTGGAAACATTGAAATTGATGGTTGAGGAGTGCAGGTCGATTGGTAGTGTTCCATGACAATTTGATCCACATCTATATTCTTAAGCCCACATGAAAGACATAAATATATACAACCATTCATTAACAGATGCACAGCCAAAGATAACTGCAATCAATTTTAGTACCACAAATGAAGTGTCAAGAAAAACATGTTTAACTAAATGCTCCGCTGAGGTACTTGAATAATCAACCATCTCACATGGACAGATGTGACATATCTGTTTAATGTATTACAGAATCAGAATAGATAATGGATGCAAGGTTGCATAATCAAGTTACCAATTATCAATTTTGATTATGATACTTTAACATGGTGATATTTATTACCTTAAGTATGTCATCGTCATCCATTCCATCAGCCGAAACTTCCGGACGCTCCTTCGTTTGGCCTGCATGCATAGGACGATCTCCATATGATCCATCCAAAGCATTGGAATGAGTACCATTACTCACCAAAGCATCAACCTTATTGTGAACCCTCAGACCTGTTCTAGTTTCTGTAGTATCAACAATATCTGGCGGACAACTGTCCATGTACTTTGCTGTTTCAGTTGTCTTAGCATTAATTTGACTGCAGTTTCGCCGTGTATGTGTATATTTAGAATTTTTGCTACTACCATATGTGGTTTGCAAGGATGTTTTCCTGATACCATCTAAAGAATTATCAATATCATGTTTAAGTGAAGCAGTTAAACCAGGTTTTATGTATGTCCTGCCCGTTGGAGGATTGGAAAGAATCTGCCATGCCTGCCATTAATAAATCAGAAAGACTTAGGAAAAAATCTCATCACTAATAACAGATGAAAAGTAACAGCACTAATAGATCCTCCCTAGAAATATTTCACCTTTTCACTTTGCGGACTACGCAATCTTTGAAGATTCTTAATTTGACAGGCCACTGACCTGAAAAAAACAAAAAA